CCGAAGATATGGATACTCGAAAAGCAAGGAATTTGCAAATGAAAAAGTTACAATCGAGAAAGTCGTTTACTTTTTCGAGAGTAGGTTTCGTCCTGGTAGCAAGATGCACTTAAAGGAGCTATCCAACGAAGTCAGCAAAACAAGTTTTTTTTATCTTGTCCAGTAGCCGACTCAATTCCCTTCTCAACTCAAAACTTTGCACACGTCTTGAACTATTTTTTACTGCAATCTAAATCAGCAGCATCTAAAATACTTGAACAAACAATCGAGGATTGTGAAGCACCAGCCATGGAAGGAGAAACAAAATATTGCGCTAGGTCATTCGAGTCTTTCATGGATTTGGGTGTTTCCATGCTGGGAAAAAGCATCGAGCTTTTATCGATAGAGTTGGAGAAAGAAACGCAAAGCCAAGAGTTTAGTGTTGGGGAGGGAGTGAAAATGATGGGTGAAGCTGTGATTGTTTGTCACAAAATGGAGTATGAATATGCAGTGTTCTTATGCTACTCCATTGATAAAAATATATTTGTGTAAGGTTCTGGGGTAGATAAGGGATGGAGCCCGAACTAGATGTTAACAGTGGTCGAATCTTTTTAACAACGTTAAATTATATATATAATTTTATTTTTATTATTTGTTTATTTCAAAAAAAATATAAATGATAATATCAAATATGCATAGTTCTATATTTATATGAAATAAAAAATTTAAAATTTAAAATTTAAAATTAAAGTAAAGTAAACAATAAAATATACGATTTTAAAAAATGCAAAAGACATAACTATCACATAATCATAATAAAATGCATCATTCTTTCAAATCTCGAAATGCATCCACGAGCGATGTTATACTAAAGCTCCTTACAATATCTCTTTCAATGTTGATAAACATGCAACTCTAAAAAAATTCATCTTACATTTGTTACGAAGTGTTATCTTGATGATATTCATTGTAGAAAAAGCTCTTTCAGCACTTGTTGTAGAAATTGGGAGAGTCAATAGAATTTTTCCCGTTCGGAATATATATGGATAAATGTTCACTTTCCTAGTATCCACCAACCATTGACTTAGGTTAGAGATTGTCAACAATTTTCTTAGACCTGAATTCCAAGATAACTCCACCTCATAATGACACAATTCTATTCGTAAATCATTCTTTTCAACTTCCGTGAAATCCTTCGGATAAAATTTATTCACGAGATTGTAAATATCTTCAACCTTGAAAAATTGTCACATCTCTTAGCTCCAAAGCACAACCAATAGTTAATAACTCTATAAACTTCTCATTAAATCTACTGTTTAACTATTGTAGTTGAACATCAACTGTAGCATAAAAAAATTCTATACTCGATAATGATGTTCAACTGTAAAATGATCTTGTTGGCGACGAGCGTGACCTCCTCTTTCTCTATAAATAGAACTCATATTTGGGATATCTATGTTGCGACTTTCACAAAATGAGGTAACTTTCATAAAAAAGATTATTCCGTCCATCATCTCTAAATTTTTGCAAACGTATCTTTGAACTCTCAACAAGATGTAGTGAATTCAAAATATCCTGAAATTTTTGTCAAAATGATTGAGAAATTGAATCAGTGATTTCTAATATTTTCTTCATAAGACGTAAAATGAAGACAAAATCAAAAGAAGTCAAAGTCTATAAAGTTGTCGTCGTTTTTCTACGTTCAGAAGATGTACTTCATTCATCAATAAGTTTATATAGAACAACACAAATGGCACTAAACATTTTTATCAAGCTTGAAATTGATCTCAAGTAAGAACCCCATTGAGTATCACATGCCCTCTGCAAATTACTCGTTTGATTCAAACCAGATCCAATTTCAAGTTGTTCTTCTTCAATCAAATGATTTATCTCGTCAGAATAAGCATTTTTTTAGTTCATCGATGCTCTTATATGAGGCAAGAAAAACATTGATAATAAAGGATAACTTGGAAAAATTGATAAACAAGCATGACCTTTTTCGCTATAGCTACTAGTGCCAACTATAAACAACGAGCAAAACAATGCACATAGAAAGCAAAAGGACACCCATTGTTAACTAATGTTTGTAACCCATTCCACTTTCCTCGCATGTTACTTGCACTATCATAACCTTGGCCTCTTTATGTCAAAGCAATAACGAGAAAGAACGGAAATATATCATCTTTTAAAGTAACTGCTGAAGTATTAGGAACATGAATAATGCTAAAAAAAGTTCCTTTACTAGATCGAAATTATCAGCATACCGTAAAATAATAGTCATTTGTTGTTTTCTTGATGCATCCCCTGCATCATTAATAGTAGTACAAAATTTTTCTTCACCAATTTTTTACGAATTGCTCTCTTAATTTTCTCTGCCAGAATATGTAAAATCGTCTTTTGTATCTTAGGCGAAGTGTAAGAAGCATTTTTTGGAGCATTTTCTAATACAACTTTTTCAACATATTTGTTATAAGAGGCTAATTGTTTCATGAGTTCAAGAAAATTTTCTCTGTTAGATGAAGATTCACTCTCTTCGTGACCTCTCATTGGTAGCCCTTGTAAAGCTAGCCAACGTAATGCATCTATAGAGGTTTCAAGTCTAAGGTTATTAATAGCAATTTGTAATGATGTTTGCTTATGCGACACTTGTGGCAGGTGTTTAGACTGGTTAAGAAAATCCTCCAATTCTTGCTCAATAATTTTATGAGGTGAATTAGGTTCTGAACCTACATGCATCTTAAAATAACAACTTTTTTCCATTTACTTTCTTCCAATTTCGAAACTCATTCATAGTGAAAGTCTTGTGTGATGGATGACTATCTGATTTGTTAAAAAGAAAGCAAATAAAACAGAAGACAACATCAATTTTAGGAGAATATTCTAACCATGAACGAAAGTTTTTATACAAGGAAGCTTGAAATCGGCAAGGGTGAGAAACATGTCCAGATTTATTGAATTTAGATAGTATTGGTTGATATGGACCCTCAACAATATAAGCTCTTCGAATTGCATTTCTTTCTTGTTCAAAAGGATATTCTCATATTTGATTGTGCTTACCAGGATATCGCTCGAAGTAATTAGAGTTGGTACTTGGTTTCTAATTTCTAGCTATCTTTAAAGGTCTATCTTCTGAAGGTGAAACATCAATAGGTGTATCAGTTGAAGTTTCAGTTGTTGTACTTGTATTTTTCGAAATTTCCCCATTTTTTCTTTTAAAAAGCTCAATAATTGTTAGATTTTTCCCATGTCAAGCTGTATTTATATAAAATTAATTCGCAAACATAACAAAATCAAATTTAGTAATCACCATTCACCTTAACAATTATTAGATTAACTAAAGGAATACTAAAATTAAATATAAGATCAAATAATTCTAATTAAAAAATAATAAATATAATATTATTTAATTATGTACCTTTAAAAATTGAGTGTCGAACAATGGAGATTCAAATTAAAGCAATATTCGATGAGCTTTAGTCGATAGGAGGGTGATTAACTCAAGGTTTTTCTATGAAATATTTTAATATTTTACTCTATTTATAAGCCATTTGTCGGCTCCTACAATTATATTAATACTATAATAAAAAAAACATAAAATTACAGCAGGGGTCGGGGCTCCTTTGGCCCCAAGGGCCCTCCGACTCTGGGGCAGATGGAACCCAAATATAGATCAGCTTGGAATCCAAATCACTTGGCCTTTCAGGTTCTTAAAGTTAAGCCAGGAACTGTTCCCGTCTATCATTTTCTACCCAAAGACACCCTTGTCTGGATTCCCAAATAAATTTGCAACAAACAGTATCAAGAGGACTAGGGGCTCGTATTAAATATGTTGGAACTCATCAACTTGGTCTTGCTGGTATTATAAATAAGCCTAGTTGAAGTGCGTGCGTGTGGGTGTGTTAACATATAAAGCGGAGAATGTATTGGTGCTTTCGTCGTCCTTGTTAGCATTTCTTACATGTGAAATTGTGTATGTATGTGATGAATGTTTTTAATGATGTTAATTATATTTTATCTAACAATCGAGATTCACGATAACTTTAGCAAACCCTTCAATTTTTTAAGAACTATCGAGATTCACGATAACTTTTTCAACCTTTCTTGTTAGTATAATAAGTAAGCTGGCTAGCTACTTGTTTGTGAGTGTGTACATTAATTGCAACGCAATAGTTCTGGCAAAGACAAAAACATGAAAAAACAATTTGACAGAAACAATGTCCAAGTCCAAGAATCGGCAATATGCATATGTTATATACGTAAGAACAATGTCCAGGTAGATTAAATATTCTTTTACTTCATGAAGAAATTAAGATACTGCCCATTCAAAAACTTAAATAATTACTTTGGTTCTCTTCTGTGCATGCTCAGTTTCTTCCCAGGTAGCCGTACGTTGGTTTCCGTACGTTGGTTTCGCTAATAAAATTTTACATAAAATACATAAATAATGTCTCGACTATAGAGTTTTATTTTGTTGAATTCCTCGACTATTAAAAGTTGCAAAATATCTCCGATTATAGTATGTTACTTTATTGAGTCATTTGACTATTAAAAGTTATAAAATAGTCACCCGACTATTCATATATCCCAATGAATAGGTTAATGTTCAACTTAAATGGCTATCAGTTTTTTAACGAAAAATGATGAGTTTGAAATATATGAATAGTCAGATGACCATTTTGTAACTTTTACTAGTCGATAAACTCAATAAAGCATCATCCTATAATTAGAGAACTATTTCGTAACTTTTAATAGTCGGAAGGCTCAACAAAGCAGCGTACTACTATCAATGTACCATTTGTATACTTTACAGTTTACCCTAAAATTTTTAACTTATCAGAAAAACAATAAGTAAGATCCAGAAGATTCTGGTGTCTTTGCATGTTGATAGTATCTATGTTGGATGAATGGGAGGTAACTCCAACGATTGTTATCAATGTATATATATATATATATATCATCTCAAGCTTGCATATGTAGTTAAGTCTTCCATTGATGTTCGATATTGTTATGATGAATTCATTTCATCCAATGGCAGCTCATTTATTTATCGTTTTCTCTTTGCTTAACGTGAGTTCTAAAACAAACTTGTATAAATTTCAATTCTTTATATTTTGTATGATTAGATATATATAAGTGAATCGGGTTCCATGCAGGTCGCATTTGCAAGAAACCATGGAGCGTTGTCGTCGGAGGAAATTCACTGGAAATCAAAGTTCCCCAACACCCCCATGCCCGAAGCTTTGAAAAACCTTTTACCGCCTCCACCTTCTGGTTTGTTTCCTATTATAATTTTCTTTAATGGTTAATTCTTATGATCACTAATTGGATATGTACATTGTTATAACTATGATTATAATTGTATTTATAATTTTAAAGTTTTATTTTCATGTAAAAATTTGATTGATAACTAGTAGTGGATGATTGCATGTAAAAATTTAATTATGATTAAAATAGTGAACAACAAAAATGACCTAATTTCTCGAAAATTATTTTTGAATTTATTAATGTGTTTAATTATGCAGGTTCAAATAAAAAATTCAAAAGTAATGATGCACCCATTAATCCATTCATAATTTATGAAAATATCGGTCAAAGTAAAGAATCCAATGGCGTGAATGCTCCCATCAATCCCTTCATTATTTACGAGAAACATTCTAAAGGTATGAATTGATTTCAAAAAGCTTAAATTGCTTCACAAAATTAAAAGCTTTTATGGACTTTTATATGTATCCCCTTCTTTTATTTTTGAATAATAGTGTTGAAATGAATTGATGATTATGTAGGTTCAAGTACAAAATCCCGAGATAATGATGCGCCTATCAATCCATTTATAATCTATGAGAACGCCGAAGAAAATGAAGAATCAAGAGGGGTGAATGCTCCTGTCAATCCATTTATAATTTATGAAAGCACCGATAAAAATAAAGAACCCAAAGGCGTGAATGCTCCCATTAACCCCTTCATAATTTATGGGAAGCAATCTAAAGGTATGGATAGATTTCAAAAATCTTAAAATGTTTCACTAAATTAAAAACTCCTTTTTATGTATCCTTTCATTTATTTTTTAAATAATATTTTCTAAACCAATTGGTATTCATAATTATGTAGGTTCAAATATAGAATTTCAAGATAAGGATGCACCTATTAATCCATTTGTAATTTACCACAACATCGACAAAAGCAAAGAACTCGAAGGAGTGAATGCCCCTATCAATCCATTCATAATTTATGAGAATCGTGACAAAGCTAAGAAATCTAAAGGCGTGAATGCTCCTATCAATCCTTTCATAATTTATGAGAAGCAATCTAAAGGTACGAATTGATTAAAATATTGCATTATGTTTAGTTTCGTATGTATATTTGTTCTCTCTTATACCTATCAGGAGTATTCCCCTTCTCTTCCCCTTAAAGTATTATGATTAGATTTAGAATTTGTAAAAAAAAATAGAGATTATTTTAATTTTTAAGTATGTTGCATCTTTACATACCGAATGCAGGAAACAAGAATTCTTTGGGACGTAAACATGGGAACGCATCAATGAATGAAACTATCTACTTCTTCCAAGAGGACCTGCGCCCCGGTAAGATGGTTAAGTTACCACTAGTCGTGAAGCCCAGGGATTTCACCACATTCTTGCCTCAACAAGTTGCTCAGTCGATACCCTTTTCGTCTGATAACTTTCCTGAAATTCTGAAGCACTTCTCTTTTGGTTCCGACTCCACGGAAGCTGATGCCATGAAACAAACAATTAAAGGTTGTGAGAGACGAGCCATGCGTGGAGAACAAATGTTTTGTGCCACTTCGTTCGATTCGTTTGTTGATTTGAGTGTTTCAAAGCTTGGAAAAAATATTCAGCTTCTAGCCAGTGAGCTTGGGAAAGAGACGAGCAACCCAATGTTTACCATCGGAAGGGGAATACAAAACATGGGAGAAGAGGAGCTTGTTTGCCACAAGATGATGTATCCGTATGCTGTGTTCTTGTGTCATTCAATCGAGGGAACCGTGGTGTATAAAGTTACATTGGTCGGCACCGATAGGATGAAAGCTAACGCCGTAGCTATTTGCCATAAAGACACATCGGCATGGAGCCCCGACCACCCTGCCTTTTTTATTCTAAATGTTAAACCAGGAACCATCCCCATTTGTCATTTCGTTGTTAGAGATACTCTCGTCTGGGTTCGTAAATGAACTGCATGTCTAAAAGTTTGTGATCTTGAGAGATCACTTTGAAGTTTTTCATAAATATCGAATAAATTGCTAATTTTACTTCCGTACACATGTATATATATATCATCATTCTCTGCGATAAATCAATTTTATTAGAAAATTCAATCAACGAGCAACGAAAAACAAAATGAATCTCAAGTATATATAACTTGAGCATTTGAGAAAAGATGCAAAGATGCCCAATAGATCCATTGGGTCCATCAGAGACTGTACCATTGGGTAAAAGAAATCCGAATGGCACCAGTCCATAACTCCGAAAGACGCCTACATAATAGACTTTTATGTGCGTTTGGTTTGCATAAATCTCTTAGAATTAGGAGAATTGGAATTCAATTCCATCACTTTTTCATGTTTGGTTCAAATTTTCTAGGGGAATTGGAATCCCTCATGGCTTCAACTTTCCATCAAATGAGGGAAAGTGAATTTCATCCAAGAATGAATAGAATTCAATTCCCTTGTTAGAGGGAATTGAAATTTGACCATACTATCCTCATCAATCTTTTGGTAACTTATTCATATATTGAATAAAAATATTTTTTTATTATTTCAGGTTGGGTCGAGTTTCTAATTCATATATTCGGGTCGGGTCGGGTGAAACTTTATTTTGGTCGGGTCGGGTCGTTTTTTTTAAGTGTGATATTCGGGTCGGGTAGAGTTCGGGTTTAGGTTGAAAAATACCTGACCCGAAAATATATATAATTTTACCTTATATATTTAGGAATAATTACAATAATACCCCTATATATATAAATTTTTTCAATTAAGTCATTGTTTTTATTGAATAAAAATAACTTTTTTATTATTTCGGGTCGGGTCGGATTTCTAATTCATATATTCGGGTCGGGTCGGGTGAAACTTTATTTTGGTCGAGTTGGATTTGGGTTTAGGGTGAAAAATACCCGACCCGACCCGACCCGACCCAAAAAATATATAATTTTACCTTATACATTTAGGAATAATTATAATAATATCCCTCTCTATATATATTTTTTCCAATTAAGTCACTGTTTTTATTGAATAAATTTTTTTTATTTCGGGTCGGGTTTCTAATTCATATATTCGGGTCGGGTTGGGTGAAACTTTATTTTGGTTGGGTCGGGTCTCGGATGGAGGTTCCCTTGTTCTCGGGTCGGGTCGGGTGGACCAAAAACCCGACCCATGACCATCCCTAATTGAGATGATTTTAACTTATGATGTTTATTAGCATGATTTTTATAATTTATTGAAATGAATAATCAATCAATAAAATTAAAATTTATTTTTTTTAAAATTTTTATAATATATTGCTACATGTAATTTATAAAACAAACTAAAATTAAGCAAAAAAAAAAAACAAGAATGGCAATCCTGTCATTTTACATTACTGAAATCAAATTCATATGACATGTCTACGAAACAAACAAAATATAGAATTGGATTCCAATTCAATTTCCTGCTAACCAAACAGAATATGGAATTGAATTCCAATTCTTGATAGATTCTAATTCCTTCACAGATTTCAATTCCCTCAGAAACATTCCAGCGAACCAAACGCCACCTTAGAACTTTATTTAGTATAGTAATTCAGTAAATAACAAAATTTAAATTTATTTTGATAAATTGAAATAGATATATAAATTAAATAAATATTATAAGTTTTTCAAAGATAAATGAAAAAAAACTTGTATTCATAATAATTTTAATATTATCTAATTCAATGAAGACAGGGGATGTAAAAATTTATAATCTTTTAACACTAGAATTTTCCTAATAATAATAATAATAATAATAGAAAAGAGAGCGTACTGTTGACCTTATTATATTGATCGATTAATCCAGATTGAGTATTGCAGAGGCGATGACGACCCTTCCAATCCAATTTACTCTATTCGTAAATGTTAAGATTCGAACCCTTAATCTTGCTGTGAATAATAGAGAGGAGAGCGCATTCTTGACGTTTTGCTATGTATAATAGTTGCTTGGTTTTTTTTCTTTCTTTTATTGTTATGACAATTAGCAGGATCGAACATCGTGCTGTGGAAAAAGGGTAATTAAAGCCGGCTGAGTTAAAAGTTTAAAAGACAATTAGGTCAAACAATGCATATTTTTAGTTTTAAATTAGTTAGTATCAATTAAGTCAAACAATACAGAACTTTAATTTTAAATTGATTTTTTTGAATGAAGTCAATCGAGTTGTTAATTCAATCGATTTAATTAATGAATAAAACAGTTTAAATATAATAAATCATAAATTTAAATGCAGCAGAAATACACAGGGGCCGGCGATGAGGAAGTCAAATAACAAATGGACCGGATTTGGAAGCATGCATGGGGTCCACTTTCGGAAATTCATATGGCATTAGTTAATTATTATAAATAGTTCATATTACATCATTAATTCTAATTAAATCTGCATTCTTGTTAATCAATCCGAATGGAGTCCAATTCCATTTTCATCCTCTTCCTACTCATTGTAAGTAGACCAAATTTATAAGAAAATTAACCAAAGTATTAAGCTTAAATGGATGGCAATTCTTGAACAATGCAGCAGCTTGCAGTATGTAGGGCTTCAGCTCTACCACCTGAGGATTACTGGGACTCTGTGTTCCCCCGCACTCCAATGCCAAATGCCTTGAAGCAGTTGCTTTATCAGCCGGAACCAGGTTTATTTTTATTTATTTTGATTTTTTTTATATACTCTTAAATTTTATTTTCTTTTTTGATAAATTATACAGGAAAGAAAGATCATTCCATTCCTTGGATACAAGATAGTTTAAATTCAAATATAGACGAAGGCAACTCAGTATTTAAAGGTAATTACTTCATTATTCAATACTTATGATTACAATTTGTCAAATAATAAAATAGTGGGCAGCAGCTTGAATAACACATGTTTGTCGTTTTCTGGTTAACATGGTTCTTGTTTGGTTTTGTAGACGCAAGACTTTAAAGATATCTATTGTAGTCATTTGAATAGCTATTTTGCAAAAATTTAAAGACAACTGACATGGTGAAAAAGAAAATAAGTTGTATATATTATAATTCAAACATAAATTTAGTGAATGGTCATTAATACTTACAACTTGCAGTTGGAGCATACAACTATATTATTGATCCAAGTAAGGAAAGAAGTGCCAAGGTTGACGGGGATGGAGTGCCGAGCAAGCAATTCAGAGGTAAACAAAATACCTCAAAATGATGATTTATAGACTAAAGTGATTTTAATACATGAATATCAAATCTAAAAGAAAATTATTTGTGTGGAGTAGGGGGAGTTTTTACACCTAAAATTGGGTTGGATTCAGAGTAGTGAAATTTCCTTAAACTCGAACCAGATAAGATGAAAGGGTATACTATTTAGGTCAAAATAAGATTGAAGAAAAACTTGATCCAGTCTAATATGAAATCTTCCCTAATTATAATCTAAAAGTAAGAAAAGAAAAAATTAAATATATTATAATTTAAACATTAGATATGTGAATCGATTTAATTAATGTTTGAGATTAAATTAATAAATTTTATAAATCTTGTAAAACTCTTTTAATATTTTTTTTTTAGAAAAAGGATAATAGTTAGATACAAAAGAATTTAAGATATTTCTCGTAGTCATTTGAATAGCTTCAACACCATCTTAGACAAATTTAAAGACAATTGAAATCGTCATTAATACTTTAAAATTGCAGTTGGAGCATACAATTATATTAGCAATCCGAGCTTGAAAAAAAGTGTCAATGTTGACGGAGATGAAGAGCCGAACAAGCAATTCAGAGGTAAAAAAAATTACCTCAAAATAATGACTTGTAGATTAAATTATAGATGGAAGTTTTGTATTAATAATTAAAATACTTATCAATAATTAAAAATTATTTTAACCAATGATGATCAAATGGGAAAAAATACATGTAAATTAATATTCATCTACAAATTTAAATTTGATAATGCAATGCTTTTTGTAAACTATATAAGAAAGAAAGGTCCATCCATCCCTTAGATATACAGTAATTTAAATACAAATACAGATGAAAGCAACTCAATATTGTAATATATAGTCATTCGTACGTGTAAAGAAAAGACAACTGGAATGATGATTAATACTTAAAAATTGTAGTTGGAGCATACAATTATAAGATGGATCCAAGCAAGAAGTTTAACAGTGCAACTGTTGACGGGCATGATGTGGCGAGCGAGCAATTCAGAGGTAAAAAAGTATCTCTAAATTAGTTACCAACTCTTCGACCTTATTAGCAATGTATTTACTTATGCACGAGCCGTACCACTTTGCTAACCAAATGAAGGAAACGAGAATTCTTTGCATGGGAACGCTGCAATGAATGAGACTATGTACTTCTTCCAAGAGGATCTGCACCCTGGTAATATGGTCAAGTTGCCAATCCTCACCAAGGAGAAGGACTCTGCTACATTTTTAACTCAACAAGTTGCTGACTCGATACCCTTTTCGACTGAAAAATTCCCCGAAATTTTAAACTACTTCTCTTTCGAGTCCGAATCAATTGAAGCTAAATCTATGGAACAAACAATTAAAGGGTGTGAGAGGGAAGTCATGCAGGGTGAACATATGTTCTGTGCCACTTCATTCGAGTCGTTTGTTGGTTCGAGTGTTTCGATGCTTGGAGAAAATATCCAGCTGCTAGCCAATGAGCTCGAGAAAGAACCGAATGAGCCGGTGTTTACTATCGGGAGGGGAATACAGAACATGGGAGAGGAAGAACTTGTTTGTCACAAGATGCAGTATCCATATGCTGTGTTTTTATGCCATTCGATTGACAGAACTGTGGTGTATAAAGTTCCGTTGGTCGGAACCGATGGAACGAAAGCTAAAGCTTTAGCTATTTGCCACAAAGATACATCAGCTTGGAGCCCCAATCACCCTGCTTTTCAGATCCTAAATATTAAGCCAGGAACTGTCCCTATATGCCATTTCGTGATTCGAGATACTCTTATTTGGGTTCGGAAGTGAGTTACACGTCTAAATATTTATAAACCCGAAATAGTACCTCAAAATATGACATAATTTCGAATAAATTGCTTGGCTTTATGAATCCCGGTATCTTCCAACTTTTAATCATGTTATGCTTAGTTGGTAAGCTTTTGTAATAAAATCTTGCATGTTCTATGTATTACGAAGTTGTGTTTTCTTTCACCTCTGGTAGGAGAGAATTTATGTTCGAATGTTGAAGATAAAATTATTGGATACACAACCATAAACCCTGAAAATGATTAATTTTCATAAATAGTAAAATGAATATGTATTGAAACCCTAAATAAAAATACATATTTAAATAAACATGCCATACTAATTATGTTAAAGTGTGTAAACATAGAGTTTACATCTGTGTCGGAAATTAAATTATCAATTCCAATAATGAAGATTGCAATATAATGAAACAATCAAGTTCAGAAAGAAGGGGAAAGTATAACAAAAAAAATGATACATTCTTAGTTCGAATGTCAGCTGGAGATGTAGAAAACTGCAACAACAACAAAAATGAAGTTCTTCGTAATGTCTGTACATTTACTCGACTTCCTTTATGAACAAGCAATTTCCTTGAACCGAAAGGCCATCCAGGCTTAAAACATGGACTTCATTATTTCAAAGTTTAGAAACCATACACAAACTGTGAGAAAACCCCTCAAAAAAGAAAAGAAAAAAAGAATTGCTCTTTAGGTACTGGCATTACCCAGAATTTGCATCGATGCTTTCAACCATATTGTATTACCTCCTGGAAGTTCAAATAGTTATAGGGAGTGGTTGATGTAAATTCCTTTCTGTAGATTCCCTATATAGATCCAAATCTCCTAGAAATCATCATTTAACTTGATCAGATATCCCGAGATTGTCAAACACGTGGCCCGCAATTGTCAAAAGAATCTGTTAGAACGAGTGGCTTTAGACCCTCTGGAGCTCGAGTAGCCAAACGATCTCCTGGACTCCCTCCGTGATTGCATACCACTGCTTTTATCGAACGAATAACTATAACCATCTGCAGCCGCTCTGGATGTATGTGCAAAATGTTTCTTTTGCAAGTTCCTTGTCTCTTCTTCAGAGTCGTACCTTGAGCGCTGCAGAAAGACAATGTTGCAAGATAAATACCATATTTGCCAAGAATAACATAATACCATAATAAATAAAGTTATTATAATGCTCCTCAAGGTTAAGGAAGGGATAGGCAAATTCGAGGAGGATAACATATACCTTGGTAGGGTCTGAAAGTACAGCATATGCCTCTCCAATTATCTTAAATAGTTTGTCCGCATCCTTGTAGGCTTCTTCTCTTATCTCCTTCCAGATCTTATTGTCTCCATTTTCAGTTCTTACCAGGGATTGAACAGCCTACATATGTATAAAACCTGTCATATCCCCACCAAACTTCTAAAACTATGCATATAGCAACAGATATAAGAAACCTTGTCAGGATGATGCCTAAGAGCAGCTCTCCGATATGCCTTCTTAATTTCTGCCGGTGAAACAGACGGTTCAACCCCCCTGCCATTACAGTAAAAATAGCATACGTGGTTAGATGAATGGAATGTTTTAAACCCCTTTCACGAAATCTAAAATTTACTACCCATACAATAATATTAGAAAGGTTTAAGGTAAAAGCTAACAAATTATTTAATATTAAGCCTAAGAAGAAAGTAGCATCAAGATCCAAGTACATAAGAAACTTACAAGATGAGATAGAAATCCAAAGGCACTTCCTTTTTGCTTTCTTCCTCAATTTCAGAAAGCCACGAACAAGCATGTCTCGTGTCGTTTGCCAAGTTAACAGATCTTTCGGATAATCCAGTTTGATTGGTCTTCATCTATGTTTGCTTCATGAGAAGAGAAAGAAGTCTTTCAAGATCATTAGTTGCTTTCCTATAATCTCTAATCTTCTCATATAATGTGGCACGTCTAGAAAGTGCCTGCAAAGACATCATTTTAAAATGATCTATGAATTTCACAATAAATCTAACCATTTATGTTGACTTTGGTTCAAGAATGCATCCTACACAGTATAAAACCAAGAAGGAATGCCACTAGAAGGTGATAGGAAGCAAAGAAATGTATTGAAAGTGGATAAACACATAACAAAGGCTGCTCCTGAGGCTCCAATCATTCAGAAAGCAATATTTTCCAGGAGTGAATACTTGCAATAGATCCATACAACACGATACTGAGCCAAACTTATTGGGCATACATGAGAACTTCTGGAAAAATAAGTGTTGATAACGAGAAAGAGAATAAGAAATTCCCCATTTTAACCAGCAAATTAAGAGAAATTTCTAGTAAAGGCATTTCGTTTATGCATTTTCCAATTACTTAGCATTAGGCATTTATAGTTTCCTTTTTGCTCATATTCAACATTTATAGTTTACTGCAATACAACGATAAAACCATCCAGGCAGTCCTACAAATTGAGCTTGTGCATGTGCTTAGTAGCTATTAGATGACTTCATTCACCTTCTCCCTTTGGAGGTTTTTTGCAGTTAGATTAACCAATTTTATTTAGAATGACTTTTGAATGTGAGACCCTTGTTTTTTTTTTCATTCATAGTGAATACACAATGGACTGACCGATTCAATCTCTCTACTCAGATTCCTCCAACCACTTCCGCAGAGAGAAAATCATATGAACAAGTAAGAGCACAAAGATAAATCAGTTTGCAGGAAAAAAAACCTTCAAATAATTGCCATCAAGTGCTATGGAGAGACTGCAATCAGCAATAGCATCAGTGACTTGGCCTTGCGCTTTGTATGCAGCAGCACGATTACAAAAACAAATAGCTGCAAAAGGCCGTGACTCCACATTGCAAGATAAAGCCGCAGTATAATGTTCAACAGCTTCTAAGTTTTTGCCTGATTGAAATGCTTCATTCCCTGCAGCCTGAAGAAGAAAGAAACAATTGTATTGATAACAAAGTTTTTATCTATGCCCCACCAAAGCATATCAAACTTCTGAAAGAAAGAAAAAACTAATTGATACAAGTTTCTACTAATCATTTATATGTTGTTACAATATCTCAGTTCCAGGGTTCAATCTTTATTATACGTTAATGTATAATTAAGAAATAAATTACTTTTTAGTATATATTAATCTTAATTATATTTTATTATTGAATTAATGTATTCAATTATAATAAACTTGTAAATAAAAATATTTCAGTGGAAATAACTTGTGTAGTGTCAAGTTATGCTGGTACAAGGTCCAGGGTTCAATCCGTGTGTAACCTCTTCCCTCTTCCCCCTTCCTCCTTTAAACTAATCTAATTGATTGTATTGAAAATATAAATTTATATATAAAACTTGACATTTTTAGACCACATATACCACATGGTCAACCAAAAATCACCTTGACCCAATCCTAACTTTTTTATTTAAAACCTGATTCTCAAGTTAAAAAGCATATCGAGGAAATACCTTATGGCTTAGGAGCTCACGTACAGTAGCAGCCAACGGAATTGATGATTCCAAACTGTTTCTTCCATCCCTGGACACACTCAAAATGTGCAATAATCATTGTACTTCATGGCATAAATTAGAATATTTTGAAAGACAATGGTGTCAATTTTACCTATTTGTAGTGGATAGAAATTCCTCTTGCTTCTCCAGAAAAGCAATAGCCTCTTCAAGCTTTCCTAGATGAAAGTAAGATTTGAAGATCAGGTGACACCGCCAAGTTCTAAAGGTAGGATCCTTCGAGAAGCCAGAACTATCTGGATTGGCCGGTTGGCCAATGACATCTAATGAAGAAGAATTCTTTTCAGCAGAATCAAATGTCTGCTCACACAGCTGAATTACATCTTCATATTTGCCTAGCTGCCATATTGCAAAAATGTTAATATGATTCCAACAATCTTCCTGTTATTTAACATATGCTTCAATTACAGTAAACCACCTACTTTCACAAGTTGCTCATTTAAACAAGCATATGTCAAAAAAATTACACTTACAATTAAAAAAGCCTCTGCTTTCATTTCAAGTAATTGATCCGAAACCGCGCTTATTTGCAAGGCCTCAGCAATTACTTCCAAAGCAGTCTCTGCATTTTCAGACATTTTGCTTTGCAAAAGTAGAGCCGAGTGATGCATGCATTCAGACAATTTCTGCCAAATAAGAAACCACTAATCAGCCAAATTACCATCACCGCAAATAAACCCAACATAGTGAAGCTGAAAAATGAATAAATTCAACAAAGCTAGCAAGAGTGGCTATCAAAGCAATCATACAACTTCCACCAGCTAACGATATAAAAGAAGAAAAAAATGTAAACCCCTTCCACCACCACATACATTTGCACATGCACAGACCTATAGACACAGAAATTCTTTTTTTTAGGATGACACTACAAGAAATTTAAATTCAGAGTTGTGGTTCCATGGCATAGAAAATAGCAATTAAACTTCTCAAAAACAACATATAGCCAAAAAGTGAATTAATTCAGCCACGCAAGTTAATAAATTGGAGCAAGTGGTCCGCCAAGAATTAATATAACTCATATGTGCATTATTATGACTTTAAACCTGTCCACTGATTAGAGCATGTCGTGGATCATTAAGCTTCCTTTAGTAACCAACCACCTTTTTCACTTTCGAGCATCAATTCTGCTCCTGTAGCTGCTGGTTGATATTATTTTCACCCATTAATTGTAAATAGAAATATATATGATTTTTAAGAGAAAAGGTTGAAACTATAAAGTATCAAGCTCTGAAACTTGTATGAAGGACTTCAACTCCTTAAAGCCTAAAGACAATATTTTGGACTCATTTGCAAAAGTGCAGCAATTATTTGATTACCACAGCTTGTTGTTTCTCATATAATCAATCAGACAGTCACGTTAAACAGATAGCAATCATATACTATGAGAAAGTCAGGATCATGTTCTTGATCAAGTTCATAAATTTTGGTCTCATGTAGTTTAGGATCCTAAACTAACTAAATTGATCATGTTTCTTTGGCTTCAAAATTTCATTGCAAATACAAACTACAACATACCTGCAGCCATAATTCAAAGATGATGGGCTACTCAGCAGCATAATCTCAAATGAGGACACAATGCATTATTCAGTAGGGACTTTTGCAAAATTAAATGATCTTTGGGGAGATAAAGAATAAATCGTAAGTAGTAACTAATATGATAATTAACTCAAACCGTATCAAATGAACTTGAATAAAAGAAGAACAATAATATACTAGCTCCTCTCAAATAATAATCAGCACCTGAGCTTTTTGTAGGCCATCAGAGGCTTCTACTGCAACTTTTCGGTCCACACAAACATCAGTTCCAGACTGTAAGCACTTCCTGAAATAGCGCATTGCATTCTCAACTTCCCCAAGGGCAAGGTAGCAACTTGAAGGAAAAGAAATAAAGAAGCAAGTTAGGAGAGAAAATGGAAAGGCAATAGAAATGAGACTCGGACTAACATCAAAGAATTGACATGAAAATTGATGCCAAAATAATATCCTAACAACTGGATAAGAATGAGGAGAAATATTAACTCCAAAAGAGAGCAGATATAAGAAAAAAATGGAAAACATGGTAATTTAACTGATAGAAATAATATTAAGCACTACAAAAGGTCATCAAATGGAAGTGCTAAGATTTGAAAATGGCATCAAAGCTGCATCTATGGGCAATTTGAAACAAATACCTGTAAATCATCATTCATGATGCAACAAATCTTCAATAAGCTTGGTATATAAAGGAATTTATAGGGTTCTAGGATAAACACGTAGAATCCTGGAAAATGAGGTAGCTCAAATAAAGAAAATGAAACAAATGTAGAGCCTTACTTTGCTGCTCTAAGTTGAACCCTCAAAAAGTTGGGATCTATTGAGATGGCCATCATACAATCTCCAAGTGCATCTCTCATTCTTCCAAGAGACATGTGTGTGGCTGCAAGGTTGCTATAGCACAACATCAATGCACGAAGACAGCTTGTAGATTTCTCACCTGCGGGAATACAACTTATCCCTTGCATATAATATTCCTCAGCTTTAGATGAATCCCCATTTGCATAGGCTTGATTTCCCCTGGTACATATCAGTAAAAAAATATATTCATCGTTGAAGGGAAATCAAGCACAAACAGAGGTCACATCATCAAATTACAAGATGGCAAAACAAGATCTATAAGAAAATTAATCTACGTGAAAAGTATATGTTCTAAAAGAATAAAGGTCAATTATAAAATTCTAATTAATAATAACCTTAACCGCCACTTTTCACATGATTCCATAGCTGCAGTGTTTGAACAGCTCAAATTAGGTTCACATTTATCCTCAGGTCCTTTGTCCACCCTGGAATTTCCTTCAACCTTGCTTTGCATAGTAGAAACTTCTGCTTTCAGGTCTTGCCTAGGGGATATATGCAATGAAGCACTTTTAGCCGAATTCTTCTTTTTGTGGTGGCAACTTGGTGGTGGTGGTTGACTTTTATCAGAAGGACATGCGGCAAAGGTGAAGTCAAAGCCACTTATATGTTCCGAATTAGAAGGGGAACTAAAGAACATCTGGCCATCACTATCTTGCCTGTCGATACTTGTTCTTGAACTGACTTCAGTTTCAGCTGAGCTAAGAGCGATATCACTGTTTTGATCAATATCCTCTGCTGCAACTGCAAAGCTCTCAGTTTTGGACCCATGCACAGAATCTTCTTGGGTAGCTTCAGCCGCAACACCATCAAAAACATTTCCAGAACCCTCCTCTTTTAGTTCATCTTTCACCCTACCTTCTATTATATTCGTACTCTGTGCTGTAACAACAAGATCTCCATCTATTGCATTATGTGAAACTGCTGACTGTATATCACTGAAGTCATCTTCGTTATCAATACTGAAAGACTCCTCTGAAGTTACAGAAGGTTCTCTTGAACAACGAGCGCTAGTATTACTTGAAACAAAATCTGGTCCATGCCACAACTGGACAGGTTTAGGCTGCTTCGATTTACCCTTCTTTTTCTTGACTTTTGTGCTTGTACCAATTTCTCTTTTTGCATCAAATTCCAAATTTTTATTTAAGCCAAAGGTTCTATTTGCCTGTGAATTTGGTGTTTTGAATTCTACAAAGGATGTTTCTATAGCATCTTTTTTGGCTGTAAAACAAAATTCATCTTTGTTTCCTGGTTTATCAGAAGTCATGCCAAAGGTATTTGAACCAGTCTGGAAAGGCAAGGTGTTAGATGAAAACAAAGTTGTTGATGCTGCAGCTCCACCAGGTCTAATATCAGTTTTTGGTTTATCCATATGAGCTTTAGTTGTGGCCGCCTGGAAAGTAAATCCCCTGTCTGTTTGACTAGTAGAATCTCCCATTGTACTCCCAATATTCAGCTTCATCTCTCTTCCAGCTGATAATATCTTATCCCTTTTCCAACCAGGCTGACCAGAGCTTTCACAACTCTCCTTGGTGTTATTATCATCAAACCCCTTCTTGTTCAAATTCTTAACCCCATCACTAAGCGTATCCGACACACTTCGAACCAAATTACCTTTTCCAGCCTTAAATGCAAAATCCTTCTTAGCGCCATCGTCAACATCATTGCCTGTAATATTCAATTTGCTCCGGAACTTGTGCCGAAGTTTTTCAGTTTCCACACCACTACCAATAAAACTACCTACATTGTCATCATTGTTATTACTCCAACCACCTTTTGAACAATAGTTCTCAATGTTCACCTTCGTTATATCATTTGAGAGCTTGGAAAATAAATTCCCACCCAAGTCACTCCCATCAGAAAGGCTAGGGTGTCGCAACAGATTAAAACCGGGGCCTGCCCGGTTTTCTAACTTGCCTGAAGATTTCGAATTATGGGAATTCGATTGCTTTTTACTTTTGGCAGGCTTTGGCCTCGGAAGGCCTCCCGATGATCTTTGCATAGAAGGCGAATTGAAACTAAAATTGACATTATTCGGGGTCGATTTGGAAAACCCAGAACTAAGATCACCTCCAAAACCAAAACTAGAAGATGAGTTCATTTTCTCTCGTGAAAACTTATTAGATTGAACACAAATAAACAGAGAAAGACCCAAAAGTATTAACCGTTAAAGGAACAAACGAAGCCTGACCAATGGGAGTTGAACAAGAGGAGGAAAAAAGAAGCTCCTCTAGGATCTAGCAACGCCGGCTACATGGCAACGTCGGCGTCATCAAATCCAACGGCAGCCAATGTGATTGGATTGAAAATCTGATAGCTTGAATGATCAAAAGGTGGCAGACGATGGGGTTCTTTTCGTTTTCTTCTTCTTTTTAATTCATTGAATGATCAAAACGAAATGTAAATAAGCATCTGGTTTTAGTGGTGATTTTGATAATGAAACAGAGATTAACAGTGACAACTTCCAGAGAAAAAGAGGGTTTTCCACAGTTTTTGAAGGTGGTTTCTTTTGAAAATTTTGATCCGGGGTGTTTGGATCATGGAATTGAGGATTTCTAGCGGGAATTTTTTTTTCTGATTAATATTCCTATGTTTGGATGGGCAAGTTTCTCAATAGGAGAGTAATAAAAAATTATCAACAATAATATTTTCTCTCTTTTTACAGGGAATGTTAATCCCATGTCTTGCTTAGGTATTGTTTTATTCCCTGTTCTAAGGGCGAAAAATACCCTCTTCCCGTCCGTTTGTCAGTGCTTCTTCTTCCAAGCCTTGGATTTCATCAAAGAAATCTCTTATCATCTTCGTTTCTGTCAAGTTCTACCGCCCGCCCCTCCCTTCGCTATATGGTACTTTATTTTAATCCTTGCTTCCTTCTGTTGTTAAATTACTCACCACATTGTTTGATGCTTTCTTTGATCCTCAATTCCTTTTTTTCCAACACATTTTTTTGTTTAGGTTTTTTTCTTGTTTCGTTTGATTGTTTAAGAAGCTAGGTTTTTAGGCATCCATGGAATTCGATTAACAGATGTATACATTAATTTTGATTTTAGTTTCTTCCGCATCCAAATCTGCTTTTTTTTTGGAAAGGCTAGTGCGTAAATCTCACAGCAAATCTGTTTTTTTTATTCCTGTTTCATTTGAAGCTTTTGTTTTTCTCATAAGCTAGCTGAGGCATGCATGCCAAACAAAATATGATTTGGGGATTATTTAGCTGTTAACGCTGAAATACCTCTTTTTCATTATTATTCTTTCAAAGTTTAATTATGAGATTGAAAAGTACTTTAGGAATGTTGAACCCATTTTCTGCAAGAGTTGATGTTGAAAATCGATTAGTGGAACCCGTATTCTTCCCCAAGTTCATGAATGATATTTGTGTCCATTTTTTAGGATTTACAAAAGATCTTAAACACGTTATGTTCATTCCTTGTTAGTGTTGCTCTTATTTAATTTGTCTTTCTTTCCTATCGTTTGCCATTGAAGTTGAGTGTGTGCCAAATAGAGAAGTATTTTCTGCTTCATCTTTATATTTACACTTTTGATCCTGCATTTTACTTCTCATAGCATGCATTCTGAGATTGTTTTTGTGTGATTTCTGACCTTAAGTAGATAGAAAAGAGTTGGATTTATCATCTTGCTCAAATCTCTTAAATTAGCATTGAGTCTTTAATACAGTGATTTTTGCTTGTTTGATCAAATTGTGGTACTAATTTAGTCTTTGAAGCTTGCTAAACCTTGCTTATGTTCTTATGGTGCATAAAGAGTTGAAGGAGGTATAATGATGCTCACTGAGTCAAAATTTTTGTAACCTGGTAAACACTCAGAATGATGAGATGAACTAGCTGTTTCACTCACAATTAGACAAAGCATAAACTGGAAAAGGCATAATTTATGATAAAATAAAAGATTTAGACTTTCACCTTCATATGATTATCAAGTCCTGAAGCTCCCTAAAGATATACTTCTCCTTTAGCTAAAGTTAAGCATCAAAGGTCTTAAATAAAACTTGCAATTGCACCTGCTCCAACTCCAGCCTCGTGTCCCTAACCTGAACAAATAGTTTTAATGATAAAATAATATGGAGTTCCATATTATTTTCTGATAGCGCCAGATGTTGCTTTTATAAAATGCATGTCCCGGATATGTGTACCCAATATTGTATCATATAGAATAACTTAGTGCAGCATCTCTGGTCATCATATTCTGGTTCTGCAGTACCTTTTGTGATCTTTTTGCTAATGTATAGGGCTAAATCACATAAGATACTAATGGCAGCTTGATATCTCTACATGGTACTGAAATGTAAAATAGTTGGTGTCTATTTTTTCAAGAGTAGCTGAAGAACGTTTATGAATTTAAGTCGTAATTGATGTGGTTATTAATTTTAACTTTGATTGGGGCCTCCACAAAAAAAAAGAAATTAATTTTAATTTTTGTTCGAAGTCTTTGATGAGAGACCCTGAACAAGTGCTCTTCTTGCTTAAACCCAGATACGAGTCTGGGTTGGTGGTGCATAATCGTCCATGAAAAGAAGGCATGAGAGCATTTTTCATTCACTGCTGCTGATAACCGCATTCAACAATTTTAAATTCATAGAAGAAAGTTAAATAATTATGAACACGACTAAACCACATTCAAATATTTAGAGGGATAAAATATTTAAATTTAAAATAATAAAATTTATATGTATTTACTTTAAAATTTTTTATAAAAAAAGTTTAATTTTACTTAAATTTAAATTAATAAAGATTTAAAATGTTATTCAATCAAAAATTTTGGGAATGTCTATGAAGCTAAGTCCCTTATTACATATTTGCAACGACAAATGTTACTGGTACTTGATCTTTGCAACTTTAGTTACTTACAGGGATCACCCGTAAAATTTGACCTTACAGGAACAACAATATCCCATGGTTATAAGCTTTTAGAATTTCAATAGGGAAGAAGACTCCAGAAAGAGAAACGCAATGAAAATGAAACTACCATTTACATCTGTTAATTGAAACTTGATAGTTTTACAAGCCAGATCCTAATTCTGACATCATTCACCAACAATAAACGTAAGTTCTTGCTTATTCATATCAAACAAGACACGGACAAAACGTAAACGACATTGATGTTGTTAAAAAGGGAAAACAACAGTGAATTAATAGGACTAGGGCATGACAAACGATTAGGAAATAAGATGGAACTCTAGGGAAAATAGGGTTATAAGAACCTCTAGTTTCTACTATCGATTCAAAGATAATAATATGTTAGGAATAATTGTTTTGGTTGTAAAGCCTAAACTTATTTATATAGGCCTTCTTTCTTGCAAGCAAAGCTACTAGACCTTATTGCCTTTAAAAAGACGATCGCCCTCAACAAGTATATACACTCGAACGGTGAATGGTTAATTAGAATGCTAGTTTCTACCAAGCAAACAATGTTAGTATTAAGTAAAAGAATTTTACTAACTATGCCTTGTGATGCAGTTGTATCGTTTTAATAAAAAATTAAGGTATTAATATGAAACCCGTCATCGGTGTTTAAGCATGCTTTGTTTATGAAACTGTTAAATTAGTGTTCAATTATTTTTATTGTCATGATAAACAATTGTTCTTGTTAAATATTATTATTTTCTAATATTAATATGTTTGTTCATAATAACAGTTATGGCTCATTTACCAATGCGAAAGAAGACACATATCGCCACAATTCTTATTTTACAACTGCAAATGATGGAGATTGTGTGTCATATGCTTATGGTTATTTCAGTTATTCTTAGAAAATATAAAAATCATCCTAAAATAACTTATGCACATGAAAGACTTTATAGACATAATATTAGATCACTTAATTTACATAAAATTGTATTTGAAAGTGATTGACAAAGTGTTGATAATTGTCGAATGGATAGGACAACATTTCTCAAATTGTGTCACCTATTACAAAGTCAAAGTGGGTTAAAAGAGAGTCGATATATGTCTATAGAAGAAATGGTTATTACTTTCCTTCATATTATATCCCACCATATTAAGATTAGAGTTTTAAAACGTCAAACAGTAAGATCTGGTGAAACAATTAGTAGAGTTCTCCATACAGTGTTAGCTTCAGTCTTGAAACTGCATCCGATCCTTTTTAGAAAACCAGAACCGATACAAGATAATTCAACAGATGATAGATGGAAATGGTTTAAGGTATTATATCATAATTCTAAACTTTCTTTTAAGTTAATTACTAATGTTTAATACATAAATGGATAGTAATAATGCAATTTAACTTTATTTGATGAATATAGGGATGTTTGGGTGCTCTAGATGGAACGTATATTAAGGTCAATGTAGTTGCAATCGATAAACCTAGATACAGAACAAGAAAAAATGAAATTGCGACAAATGTACTTGGTGTTTGCACACCAAACATGCAATTCATTTATGTTTTACCTGGGTAGGAAGGTTCTGCAGCTGATGGTAGAATACTCAGAGATGCCATTAGTAGAAGAAATGGTTTAAATGTTCCACAAGGTAAATTATTAGGTCATTAATATATATATATATATATATATATATATAAGAATGTAAAATTCTTACAAGTTTTGTATATTAATTTACTTTTTAAATTAAAATAATATAGGGTGTTACTACTTATGTGATGCCGGATACACGAATGGAGAGGAATTTCTTGCACCATATAGAGGTCAAAGATACCACTTGAATGATTGGAGAGAAGGACACCAATCTACCACCCCTCAAGAATATTTCAACATGAAACATTCTCAAACTAGGAATTGCTTTGAGAGATGCTTCGGCATATTGAAAGCGAGATGGGCAATTTTAAGGGAAAAATCATTTTATCCAGTGAAAACAAAATGTAGACTCATTTCCGCTTGTTGTCTTCTTCATAATTTCATAAGATCTGAGATGTCAATCGATCCTATTGAATCTGACTATACTGAAGATAATAGGCATGTTGAAGAGATTAATGAAGTAGAAATGATCAGACATTGTGAGCCAAACAGTGCTTGGACTGAGTGGAGAGACAAATTAGCAGAAGATATATTTACTAGTTGGTTGGCGTCACGTACTTTAGGATAGATGTTATTTTATGTTATGTATGACTTTCACCTTATATTTTATCTAATGTTAGTGGTCATTACTTTCATGTATTTGACATCTTTATATTTTATGGCATAAACTTTATTAAATTTTATGTATTTATCTCCTATAAAATTCAAATTTTATTTGCTATGGCCATTCATTATTTATGTCATTCACTACATTTGATTTATATTATGTTACTATTTTAAATTTCATTTATGATTAGTATTGACAATGATGACATATTTTATGTTATGTTATGCATTTTTTATATACATCTTCTTAGATTGTTTCGAAGAGCAATATGTCAACATCAAATATGGAATCTCAAAGGGGGGAAAAACCGACATCTAGAAAGGTTAAGTCTTTAGGAACTAAAAGGACATGGACTAAAGAGGAGGATGTTGCACTTGTTGAATGTTTACACATTTTGGCTGAAGACC